TGTGCTAACAGTTATTATCAATTAAATTAAATTGAGAGAAATTTATAAATTTAAAATAAAAAATGCTCCAATTAAAATTATAAGGATTAAAATAATACAAAGACTAAAATATAAGAATTATTTGTACAATTTGTCCATATAAATTTAAAAGTTCAATTTAATAATATTGTAAATACTTATAATTAGGTACATAGGCTGTGCAACGGATCATTGACCTGTCAAACCCGCCCGACCCGACACCTAATGAATGGATACGTGACCCCTGACGGGCAGGTGCGGGCCTGGTTTTTCTGTTTTCTCGGGTTCGGGTCGAGTGACGGGTGATCCGTCATTTTACCTAATAGACCCGACCCACCCGTGACTTTTATTTTTTTTTCCCTTACGCGTCACTGCCTCAGCCCCTTTGCTTTGGATTTTGCCCTAATTTCTTAACAGACCCAACAAACAAACCCAACAACACACACACGCAGAGACTCTCTCTCTCTCAACCCTACCATCCGACGATCTACACAGTGAACCAAATACATCCGACGATCTACACAATGATGAGCGACGATCTACACACTGAACCTCTGACCGACGATCTACACTGAACGACCGACGATCTACACTTCTGAACGGCGATCGATTTGCATTGAACGACGATCGATCTACAGTGAGGTCTCTTTCTCTCTCTCTCTCTCTAGATGATCGATCGATTAAATAGAAGTTAATCAAACGACGATCGATCGATTTGCATTAAACAGAAGTTAATATATTATATATATATATGCTCTAATAATTTATATATAAGTGCCAGCAACACCAGCAACCTTTACTGTATATATTAGGATAGATTTCTCCTCTCCCTTCTCATTTTTGCTATGTTTTAGAACTTTAGATGCGTTTGGATTTTGGCTTTGTGAAAAGAAAAGGAATTAATGGGTATGTGAACAACAACAAAAAATTATTTTTTTGGTTGGGTTAGAAATATAAGCAGAAAATTAATTGATTTGTTTTGTTTGGTTGGGTTAGAAATATAAGCAGAAAATTAATGGGTCTGTGAACAACAACAAAAAAAATGAATCTCTGTTGTTATTTTTGTTTAGTTAACCATAAAAAATGAATATGATAAGGCCTTGCATAAATACTGATAAGAGGTCTGTGAATTATTTTTTTGTTTAGTTAACCATAAAAAATGGGTCTGTTTACATGGTTTATGATTTAGTAAAATTAGTAAAATTTGTGGTATCATACACATGGAGTGCTGTGGACAAAATAGATTGATTTTATCTGGTGGTGGTGATTAATAGATTGATTGTTGATTGTGGTATGTTATGGTTGATTGTGGTATCATACTTTTTTAGAGTGATTGTGGTTTCATACTTTTATATGTTGGTGGTGAGGCACTCCACTCCACTGTATGCCATTTTCCATCTTGTTATCTTTTATTGGATATGTTTGGAATTATGTATGTTATGGTTGACTACTGTAGTGTGTGGAAATATTTATGATGTGAAAATGGCTGAAAGTGATGAGCTTTCTTGCGGGCAATAAACAGACAGACAGGATTGAAACACACTGAGCTGATTGTTACTCTCTGGACAACCTCCATTTGGGAAAAAATTCCAATATAATGCCAATATTGCATTGTTTATTCTTAACTGCAGCCCAATAACATCACCCTTTATACTAAACAGATTGTCCACCAACTTTTTTGCACTTTATATTATATGGGGACTTAAGTATGTAAGGTCCAGCATTATTGACACTTTTTCTAAATGTCACAAGGCTATCCTATATTGTGCATAGAGTATTGGAATTATATTGGCATTATGTTGGACAACAACAGGGTTGGAACACACACACTGCCAATATTCCATTGGGAAAAAATTCCAATATAATGACATCATTACTGTCCAGGTTGTTTCATAGATGTGAAGAATGAACAAATATTGCATTGTTTTTTTTTTTTTATGTTGAAAATTTGTAAAATTTCAAACCGCCAAACTGATTCGTATCCATCCGCCAATCCGCCAAATTTGCATCCATGTTTTCTCCAATCCGCCAATTTGGCGGACGAATGGCGGATTAGAGGTTTCGTGGCCGCAACCGGTCCGCGCCCTCACATCATATGATAAAAAAATTGCATCGTGACGTTCAGTGGAGCCAAAGTCTTAAAACGTGACAAGTTGGCACTACAGCGTAAACTAAAAAATATAAGACATTGACAGTATTAAAATAACATACTCTATTGGGATGATCTAAGAGATTGAATAAATTTTAAATATTATACTGCTAACGCAACTATATGTATACATCATGTGAGAGTGAGAGTGAGAGCGAGAGCGAGAGCGAGAGCGGGTGTGGGTGTGTTATTAACTCTCTGTTTTTCTTCTTATATTTAATTAACTTAATTTTAATTATTTATTTAAGGTACAAGGTTGTGGTGGTTTTAATATACCTGCAAAATAAAATAAACAAAAACGATGGAAGAGTTAAAACATTTAAAGAAAAAAATTGAAAGAAAAGGTGTGGGTAAATTTGAAACCTTCATTGTCGATCTCATTGTTTTGGTTATTTTTTATTTTAAATTTGTTCAGCATGTATTTCAAATATATACTCGGCATGCATGTATATATACACACACACACATATATATATATATATATATGTATTGTTTTGGTTATTTGTGATTTTGTCTATTTCAAATTTGTTCAAATTGGGAAAAATAAGAATAGTTAGGGTTTAGGAAAATTTTGGGGAAATTTATTTTGATGTTAAAAGTTTGTGTAGGAGTTGGTTTATTAATTCTCTATTTGTATAGGAGTTAAAAATTTTACTGTGATATTTCTATTAAACAAATCATAATAATAAAAATTTGGAGAAATTTATTCATTCTTTGATGTTAAAAGTTTGTTCAAGTTATTTATTAATTTTTTTTCCTGCTAGTGACTTTTAAGATAAATAGTATAACTTTCATGATTGAAATATTCAACATACAAATGTCAGTTTTACTGTGATTTTTGTCTTTGGGTTAAATTGCCCTGTTATATCAAATGGGGCCCTCTTTTTCAATCTTATGGCACAGACTTTTCTTCCTATGTAACAATTCGTGGAGTGCAAATTCCATTGCTTTTTCGCCTAGTTTAGTAATGCAGCCAATTTTTGCCTATTTTTCCTGCACATTCAAAATCTGAAATTATTTGTGTTTTTGGACCATCTATCTGAGTCTTTGTTTGAATTTTGTGCTTAAGTAATAGTCTTATATGACTTTGATACATAAACCTTGGAATCAAATATGCAATGTGCCTGTTGTATCCTACAATTAGTAAACATTACAGACCATTGGCCTAGAATTAGTAAACATTACAGACCATTGGCCTTAGAATCAAACATGCAATGTTAATTAAAGTGGTGATTTAGTAAACATGCAATGTAAGTATCCTAGAATTAGGTCTACATAAGTTGGTGCGCAGTTAAAATAATGCAATCTATGTTAAATTTAAATAGCTATTTTAGAGACTGTTCTTCTCTCTATTACCCTTCTAGGGCCCATTACAGACCATTGGCCTTGTTTCACAGCATTTGCAGCATCTGTTTAGGTCTGGATTGCATTGTTTAGTCCACATAGGATTGGGTTTTGGGAGGTGTAAATTGGGTACAAAGCATTTTTGCATATAAAAATTAGAAATAGCAACCCAAAAATATATATCATAGAGAAGGAATAGACTATGTGCCCTTAAATTTGATCCATCAACACTAGTTTGTAGAAACTATACTTGAATTTCAAGTTAAAACAGGCAACGAATAATTGCTCATGGGAAAGTTCATCAATTTTTTCCCTTTTGTTGGGAACCCACATATTACTACTATACCAAGAGTAGGTTCTAAGCCACCTAAACAGACCCAAGCAATACACCAAAATGGTTCAAAATCTTAAATACATGTATCATATTGTATTCATGACTACTACCTATTTATATGATGATGATAATATTTTACTCAACTTCTTTTATCTCTTATATATAGTTTATTATTTTCTAAATACAGTGTTTCTTTCATGTATACTTAGTATGAATGAGTCACACATAACAAGTGAAATATATTTAATTACAAATATCAATTTTGAGTCTCGTGGTTTTTCTATAGGTCTCTATAACTTACATCGGAGGTATTATTTACGAATCTCAAATTTGATAGTAGTTTTCATGATTTCAGTTTTTTTTTTTTAATTTTATTTTAATTAAGTGTTTGAAAGCAATTTTAAAAAGATATTATTTTAAATGATGAATATTGCAATGACACTGTCTATATATAGTCTGATGGTGAACTTGTTTGCCATTCCGAATTGTTAAACAACAAAGAGGCATTCCAATCTTTGCAGGTATTCTGCTGATGTTTGTTTAATTTTATTTTGTGTCTATATTCTCTAATTTTGTGTGTTAAATTAATTTGTTATTGTTAAATTAATTTATTTTATCTATATCCTCTAATTTTATATTTATTGTATGTGCTAAATTAATTTCTTATTGAATGAATGTGGTACATGACCCCAATTTTTATACAGTATAAAAAGATGGACAATTTCAATGATGATGGTGATTATGATAATGATGACAATGTCGCTGGATCTTCACAACAACCAAATCACCCGTATGGGAATCCCTACCTAATGGCGGCACAGTGGCAGGAACAATTTATGCAAAAAATTACCTAAATAAATAACCATGTAGGACATCTGCCCTCACAAGACATCAATGGATGTTAGAATTGCAACATGGTAATGCTACAAGGATATATGAAAATTTTAGAATGGACAGGGATATTTTTTTTTATCAATTGCGCAAATTATTAGAGACTAACTATGAACTACAAAGTAGGAAAAAAGTTGGGGTTCAACAACAAGTTGTTATTTTTTTATATATTGTTGGTCAACATGCAAACAATAGAAATGTTCAAGAAAGATTTCAATTATCGGGTGAAACTATTTCAAAATACTTCCACTTTGTTTTAAAAGCATGTGTGAAAATGTCCGTGGATTGGGTGAAGCCTTGGCAGAGAAATGGGGTCCATCCGTACATAAAGAATAGCCGAAAATATTACCCTCATTTTAAGGTAACTACAAATACTCTCTCTCTCTCTCTCTTAAAAAAAATATTTTCTAATATTTTTTGTATGTAGAATTGCATTGGGGCAATTGATGGAACACATATCAAAGCTCATGTGGAAGCAGAATACTTACCCCGTTTCATAGGTAGGAAGGGATATGCTACACAAAACATATTGGCAGTGTGTGACTTTGACATATGTTTCACATTTGCTTGCCTGGTTGGGAGGGAAGTACACATGACACGTGAATTTTTTGGGATACAATTAGGAATCCAAACAATAATTTTCCATATCCAGAAGGAGGTATGTATGTAACACAAATTAAGATTTATTCATTTATTCTATATTAGTTAGATTTGTAATGAGTTCATATTTTACTTTGTAGATGAGTATTATTTGGTTGATTCTGGCTATCCAAACACAAAGGGTTATCTTG